ACAACGGCTACCCCACCCTTCAAACCGAAACGCATTACTGCTTCACGGCAGAAATAGGCGGGGTGGTGGTACCTCCCCTAGCGGACTTACAAGAGGTCCTACCACCAATAAAAAGAACTGAAGAAGACTCGGTAAATTTTTTTTTTTTATTCCTACCTATTCGTTGATAATCTAAGGGGCTATTCCAATTTAGCGCGTACCGGTAGGTGAGTTCACGGTCTCAATCTGAGAGAATTACTAGCCCTAGCAAGAGCAGTCCTTCGCTGATCCGGCGAGAAACTCAGTGGATAAAATTCATTAATGCCTCCATTAGTATACAAAGATACTACAAACGAGACGGGCTGGTGTTATCACAATCATTAAATAACAATAGCGCTTTCAGTACGTGGCGAATCTGTTGTGACGAATCTATGTCATTGACACGACTCGAACATAGAGCGGATTCTATAGAAGGGACAGATTGTTTTATTTTTACCAATTTTATACTGAAAATGTGGGGCTCTATTCATGTTACCACGTTAACGCATTACCACAGCCCTATGAGTGTGTTGTGAGATTTTTAATACTGAAGATGTGGGGCTCTATACATGTTACCACGTGAACGCTCAGGCCTAGGAGTGTGTTGTGAGATATTTAACCGACTTCAAAAAATATGGAGTTTCAAAATTCGATTGATTTTTGTGCCGATAGTTTCTTGATTGATTTTCACTTAAAAGCTTATGTTTCTCGGGGGTCACATTTTTATCCAGATCTGACAGATTTTGAGTTATTCATAATGATGCATATGTAATTGACTTCGAGTGTCGAGGTCGATAATCTCATTTTAAAGCAGTTTTTGTTTAAAACATTAATTTTGCTGAAGTCGGTTTTTGTTTTTTTTTAAAGTGAAAACTTTTTTAGTCTCGTTGTGATTCAAAAGTCGATGAAACGAAAAAGCGAAAGTAAAAAGAGACAGACACATAAACTCATTAGATTTAACGTGAGAGAAAATGAGATATACAAACAATATATTTACAGTGTTTCTTAAATTTGTGGTTCTCTTTGTGCTCTATAGGAAGCATTATACAGTGTTTCTTATATTTGTGGTTCTCTTTGTCCTCTGCTTCGTACCTAATATTCGTATTTAATACATTCTGAATTAATCTATATAATATATACGAATAGAATGTAAAATAATTATTACATATTTTTTTTTTCTTGAGAGGCTATTATATCAGCGTAATCAAACTTTGTATCACCATGATCATTATTAAAACCTACAATAATCCTCTTCCCGAAATTTTACATTCGTCAAATTATCTTGAAGCCAATATTTTTTAAGGTTTCACTTCTACCACGTGCGAATTGCACACATGTTTTTTTTTTATAAGTTGTATTTAATTCATGACACCTTCACTGACATTGCACGTCTAGTCTATAATACTATGTTGTCTAATCTGTGACCATCCCGCCGGCGTCACCTAGCGTTACAACCTTCGTTCGCTCTACACTCTATCAGTGTGGAACTTGCAGTTTTTGTTAACTGTCAACATCGAAACTTCCATAATAAATGTTATATAAATAAATATAGTTTCATTAAGTACAAAAATTACGCTTAAATAACGAACCGAACTAAAATTATTATTTTTATCCTTTTAATTCTGGCCGAAGAAATAACATTACTGCATTGTCAACGATCCTTTATACGTGTATTTGTAGGTACATGGAGTATATAACAATACATAACTATTCTTTAATTTTTTTTTTTTAAATTACCTAAATTTATTTTTATTTTTTACTGCTTAGTTGCGTGGACGAGGTCCAAGCCTACGTGGTGTTAAGTGGTTACTGGAGCCCATAGACATCTACAACGTAAATGCCGCCACCCACCTTGAGATATGGGTTCTAAGGTCTCAGTATAGTTATAACGGTTGCCCCACCCTTCAAACCGAAACGCATTGCTGTTTCACGGCAGAAATAGGCAGGGTGGTGGTGGTACCTACCCGTGCGGACTCACAAGACGTCCTACTATCAGTAATTGAATATCGAAGGAGCATTCTTGTTAAAAATAAAAACATCATTAGTATTATTTTTATTAAACAAATACGTTATGGTGTTTCTATTATTTCCAGGAATGACTTAAAACACCCGGGGCCACAGAATTTGTTTCATTGTTAATAAAAAAAAAACCTATAGGTAATTCTGGTTATTAGATTAAAGACAGTTCAGTTCATGTATTGAAAACCGGTTTTCTTACTCTATTAGATCTTCTGTCCTGCTCGCACTCCTTGCACACGAGCGAGAGTAAGAAAGACAATCGCAGTTCTTCATTAGGCAGCAACGTAGTCTTTCGTAACCTAACATAGTAAATGCTATTACGTAAATATCTTGCAATAGATTTGCTATCGTTCGAAGTAATGTTGCTTGTAGTTCAATCGTTAAGGCGAAGATTTACATTAAATTAAAAGTCTTATCATAGACATCACTTACTGATTCGCCTTATCTTAAATTCGATTGTGAATACGTAATATTAATGTAAACTTTGGTGATACAAAGTTAGCATCGGGGATCGTGAATGGCAACACTGATCTATTATACACTTACGAATCTGGAATTTAAGACCGTTTTTTTTATTTGCTATGGCTATGCTGATAGCCTTGAGAGGCTATTTCAGCTTCTCCTTGACGTGTAGGTGAGCTCACGGGGCTCAAACCGGGAGTGTTTCTAACACTGGCCTTAGCAAGAGCAGTGCTTCGCAGAATCTACCAGCGGATTGGAATCGCGACGTGGGCAGTACTGTGTGCTTAGTGAGAGTTATTTAACGTTCTCGATAGCGTAAAAGTTAGCTTATATTTGTATGGAATGGGATCGTTTGCGTACGCTTGCCGCTTAACTTAACTTTTATGCTATCGAAGGCGTTAAGAAACTCGCACTAAGCACACTGACCACGCCCGATGTTGCTTGACTTGGACGAGAATCGGTGTATTCAACATGGTATGGACGTAGGCCTAAGACCGATAATAGGTTCCGTGTTTCCCTTCCTCAGTGACAGACAATTTCAAGTATAAACGAATGATACAAAAGAGACGAAAAACTAAGATAAGTTGTAGCACAAATATGACTATAGATGGCAGCACTTTTAAAGACTAAAATCCAGTCGCGCGTTGGAGTTGAAACGCGCATTTTTTTTTCTTTTTTTTCCTTTATGTTTTGCAATGGATACGCCTGACTGCTAGTGTCAAGGTTTGAGTTCCGTCAATGACTCAACTTAAGGCTACTAAACATAATCAGTAATACTGATCGCCTCATTGGTTTAGTTGTATGCAGCCAAGACAGCGGTTTAAGCGGTAGGCAGCGGCTTGGCTCTGCCCCTGGCATTGCTGAAGTCCATGGGCAACGGTAACCACTCACCATCAGGTGGGCCGTATGCTCGTCTGCCTACAAGGGCAATAAAAAAAAAACTGTAAGGGCCGAGCTTGATTCGAAAGCAGTGTGTTTAGTGCGAGATAGCAAGAACAGTGCTAAACAGAATCTACCACCGAATCGGAAACGCGACCCACCGAGAAGATCCGGTGAGAAACTCAGTGGGTTGTGTCTGTGGGTTAATTTGCTCGCTGAACCCTTCGTCGCAAGCGACGGGTCCGGCGAGGACGGTGGCCGGTGCTTGAGGTACCTAAAAGCATCGTTAATGTTTTAATTCTCTATTTAGCGGCAAACGAATGGAAGCTGTTCCCTTTGGTTGCCACTAGAGGCGCTGTTCCAACTCCATACAAATTTGAGTTATCTTTTACGCGATCAAGGAGTTAAGTTCAAGAAAGTTTAGAAGTTAAAGTTAAAACTCTCACTAAGCACACAGTACATAATAATATGTTCCAGACGTTTGAGGATGGTGAATTAAATATTTCTGTTTTTGTGGCGTTCACGATACCGACGAAAGCCGTTGAATGTTTTTTTTACACTTTGACTTTGTCATCATTCTCCTGCCCTTCTCCCAGTCACATGGGGTTGGCGTAACATGTTTCCTCCTTCCATACTCCTCTATTACATACGATTTCTTCGCTCACTCCCCTCTTACACATACCGTCTTTCACGCAATCCATTCATTTCTTCTTAGGTCTACCTCTTCCTCTATTTTACGCTTTGGCTTTGTACATTCTTTAAAAACGTAAACTTTGAATCACTCGAAACTTCGAAATATGTATTATGAAACAAAATTCAAAGAGATTTTCAGTTGAACTCCAAAGAGAATATCGCTGCGTTGTTTCAAAAATGACAGTTCGATCGTGTTATTGCAACACACGCACCAAAAAAAACTACTGTGAAGGGAAATCCTTATTACAATAATTCACTACATTTAAATGTTAATTATTAAAGAATATAATTCGATTGATCACGAAACTTTCCATCATATATCCTCTATCCATCTCCAGATATTAGGATGTTGGATGTGTACCTATCGCTTTGTTCGGATGTGTCAATTACCTCAATGATGTCTGTAGGCTTTGTTAGCCAATTATCATGAGACAGCCCTCTTGTGTAGTCCTATAAGCATAAAACACCCCGATCCATTGTGCTTTTAGGCACCACAAACACCGGTCACCGCCCTCGTCGATCCCGCCGCTTGCGACGAAGGGCTCGATGAGCGACAGCCCACTGAGTTTCTCGTCGGATCTTCTCAGTGGGTCGCGTTTCCGATCCGATGGTAGATTCTGCGAAGCACTGCTCTTGCTATGGTCAGTGTTAGCAACACTCCGGTTTGAGCCCCGTGAGCTCACCTACACACGTTAGGGCGAAGCTGAAATAGCCTAGGCTATCAGCATCGGTAGGAAAAAAACATTTTCATTAAGTTTTTTGTGCAATATGTATAATTTTAGTACACTAGTAGTATGTAAGTGTCAAAATTCATTCGAACGATTCAAACCGAAGACGCAAAGAGAAATTAACTTAAACTAGGTATGTACGATGCAAGAATTTTTGTAACACACGTTGTAAATAAACATATTTTTACTTTTACGACTTACATGCGAGAACTGCACGCGATTTAATTTCCAATTTAATATTATTTGGTTCACAATTTTCACACGTCTCGTTGATTCAAAGCAAGACCGACAAGAACTTGATCGAAAATGTTTTCAACAAATGTACACTTGCACTCTACACTCCGAATTCTGAACCAAAAAAATTGTATTACACAAAATGCATTTTACTTTGATACACTTAAGTTGTATTTAGCTAAAAATAAAACTTTCACGAATCGAATAAACACGAGATTTAAACTTCAAAGTTTTTATTCGCAACACAACCTCTCACATTGAATGGCATCGGGCGACTGTTTAAAATGTAAATTGAAATGTTGAATCAAGTTGTACGGAATTTCGACTAGTTAAGGCTGAGTTGCACTCCAATAGAAACCTCGCGATTTCACTGTTTGTTAATGTTTTTACACATATTAAATAGACTAATAGCAACATTTCGGACATAAAATATTTTTAGAGTTGCATAAAGTAGCTCGCGACCAATCTAGTGGTGTATCCATAGACGGACGGTTAAGCTCGTTCTCTTTAATCAAAGGCGGATCCAGCTTTGGCGCCAGGAGGGGGTCACATAGTCAAATTTAGATGCGTTCGTTCCCAAGCGTTTGCCATTATACAAATTTATTATATTATTATATTAAATTAATTAAATATTGAAGGTATGTAGTTACATAAAATCTGTATGGTGACAAAATATATAAATAAAATCATTATATTCAATTAGTGGTCCACCTAAGTCCTGGAACCAGCTCAGGGGGTGGTCATGACCCCCATGACCCCCCCCCCTGGATCCGCCATTGTCTTTAATATAGAATCCCGGCAAAAACCTGACTCGCGCTGAACACAAATTTTAAAAATTATACGTAAATCGTAACAATAGCATGTGGATCAACGGATAAAATAGCGAATGTCTTTTTTTTTTTGGTGTCAAAGAATTATATTAGCAAACAAATTTTCTAATAAGGTTAAGCGATGAATCCCATCGCATACAAAGAACTTAATTGAGTTCTAAGTCTCAAATTTAACAGCACATAACGAGCTTTTGTAAGTGATGAACATTGTGATCCAGTCGTGAAGCGCACGTAGGTACTACATGCTCACTAATTAACTGTATAAATATTATTAAAACAATAGTTGATGGTTCGATACGGAAACCAGTGAAAACGACCCTTAGCTTACAAACATTTCCTTGCACTGTAGAGGTATATTGTGTGCAATAAATCATCAGTCACAATAATAATATCAAAGTAAGCAACATTCTAGCTGTGAGTAAGTTACTGGCTTAAATATTAAGTTTATTATCTATGGTCACTGGGAACTGGCGAGAAAGCGGACAAACGGTTGAATAAACCCATAGTAGGGTTGCCAGATCTGTTATTTAAAACTGCGGTAATTCATTAATGAATTGTCTGTTTCAATTATATTTGCATTGTCACAGTACGATGTAATTTATTCTTAAAGTAACAGATAGCTTACTTACATTAACGTATGCTTGTTTGAGACGTTTTATTGATGTTCAAAGCAAATAAGTTTACAATGCAGACATTACGTTGCATTTGTTTTACAGAGCCCGGCGATAAATATTGCATAATGACTTTGGGAAAAAGAGAGAGTCACCTAATTTCGGCTTGAAAAACGTTATCGCTGTGGCACGAAACAAGTTCGACTGAAAATTACTGCACTTGATTGACCTATAAACGACATCTAGGTAGTGTGCGACAGAGATAGCGCTACTCGAAATTAGCCGATTGACTCTTTGCAGAGGTCGAGATGCAATATTTGAGTCGTCTATTATCAAAGGTGGCAATCTGTGCATTTGGACAAAAAAAATTTATTGATATGTCAATACAGATTGATTTGAATATAATCGTCTCCTTCAAAGAATACGGTTCAAAACCTGCATTAAATAAAGGTTAATAGTTAACCTGTTATTTATCTAAGATGTCGTTCCGAAGAGTTTTGTGACTGCCAATGGAATACAAAGTCAATAATTCGTTTTTCTGATTTACCAATCATTGTCCAAAAGTCAGATTGCCGGCTTTGATAATAGTCGACTCATTTATCGTCGAGTACTGTACTTTTTTTCTTATTCTTTAGATACGAGCTCACACTTGGTTTTTTAGTGGTTACCAAACTTAGCAAGGCTTAACTTAGCAAGGCTTAACTTAGCAACTTGCCACCTTGCAACATGAGTTTTATTTCTCAGTCTCAGTTTAGCCGTAGATACGGACGCACAAAACCCCTACCACCAGTAATTACGTAAATTATATATTTTGCTTGTATGATTTTTATAACATGATTTTATTCCTTCATCGTCGAAGTGAATCGTGAACATTTGTTAAGTACGTATTTCACGAGATAAATCGGTACCCGCCTGCGGGATTCGAACACCGGCACAGTCGCATCGCTCGATACGAATGCACCGGACGTCTTATCCTTTAGGCCACGACAACTATATTATGTATTTCACAGAAGACAGCGATTTTGATATTATTATTGACGATTTTAGTTTATTTACAAAAAAAAAATATCTATACTTAGTTATTTACTACAAATATTTTTATAATTCAAAATCCGTCTCTCTAAAATATAATGAACGAAAATAATGTATGACGAATACTTACTCGGTATAGTGCGTACTGCGTGTATGGCCACAGGTTTTTACGCTCGCATTGAGTCACGCTTGCTCGGCGATTATAGCCCTTGTTTTCCAATTCAATAATGAATTTATTATTTAAACAGTTGAATTGAATATAGGCCATCGGGCGACCTGAGGGGGTTGAGGCCGTGCGGCGCGCTACCAGCACTCTAGCACGCCGCCAAGGAGGAATAAAAAGTGCAACCGGTTGGCAGTCTATCACGTCCCGACCGGGCAGGCTGGTTCTGACCCAGCGGGGTGTTCCGGGACACTAGCGGCACCGTCAGGGCGCCCCGATGGGCTGACGTACCGGGACGGCCGACGTTTCAGGACCTTCGATTCGAAGGTTCCATCGGCCGGGCGTCCTTGGGGCGAGCTGCGCCGTCTGGTTGTAGTGTTGACCGCGGTAACTCCCTTACCTCATCTGGGTTCTGACCTCGGAGGGGATCGGACACTTGGGCGAAGAGTGCAGGGGAGTCGTTTAGTGGGTAGGATTCTACAAACATCCTTAGGCCCGCGTTCCATCGTCGCAGACCTGTCCTACATACTCCACGCGCTCTCTAGGTGCGGGGGACCTCCTAAGAGGTTCGGCTTCCGTCCCGAAAAAAGGTGGTGATGCTATTTCACTTAGTATTTACTCTGGTTTTCTTTACTTATACGGTTTAATCTTGCGTTTTTTATCGACCGACAGTCTGCGAGGCCCATTTGCATGTTACAATTGTGATACATATTACCCCAGACTTCTCAATGGTCGCCTTCGTTGATTATCGACTGATTTGGTGGCGTAATAGTGAATCCCCTGACTGTAGGCTGTGTTAGTGCATTCGATTCTCACTTCGAGTGCTTAATATCTTTATTTTTGTATATTTAAACGTATTTAAGTATGTATTTGGAACTAAAAGCCAGTATCGTGTGTGATTGTTTATTAACGAGTGTGGCGGTAGCGATTATAGAACACAAGATATTCGACAGATGCCTGAATCTCGCTTACTACATTTTTTTAAGCAATAAAAAAAGTACTACATTTTTAAGATAAGCTTGCATCTGAACAAGTTTCGAACGACAACATTCGGCTTATCACCCGCTCGGCGGAAGATCTTCCCTTCGTCGTAATTTCCACACGAGAAACACGGAGGAATTAATACTCACTAGGGATCGGTTTTCATTAAATTTTATTGATATAATTTTGTACAAATAACGGCATATAGTACATCGGACAGGTTTCACATACAAAACTAATGCTAGACAAAGCTATATGTCACAAATATGTTAGCGTCAAAATGGCGGTCACCTTGAAATATTAAAAACGGAACTGTCAAAATATTACTATCAACTATAAAATTAATTATGGCTGATCCTTATAAATTACATTTATTTACTATTATACGTGTTTCAAATGTAGTAAATATAAATTATAATATGGTTTGATTAAGTACGAATTTATGGTTTAGAGTTACGTTAAACATCGCATAATAATGTGAAAACACAATATATATAATATATAAAATACAATGGAGTATTGAAAAGGCGGTAAGACTCTTGAGTGACTATTATTATGCATAACCATTTCAACACTCCAACTTTTCCCGCCAACTTTGGTTGTAACCATGGTAACCATTTACAATCACATTAATAAAGATTAAGTTATTAAATAAAACAGAAAGAACCTTAATAAGCTTAATAACGTAGAATTTGTTTTTGTTCTTACGACAACTGAACTGACTAAATAAAATTTATCGCAAATGTACTCTCGGAAGTGTTAATGAGTTTTTTTTTTAGTTTTACATTAAATTTCAAGGTAATTACGCCATTTTAACACTAACTAAAAATATCTACGTATTACATATTTATATTGATACACCAAATAAATTGGTACTGGAGTTATCATTTTATATTAAAAACAGTTTCTTATCAAAAGCGATTGGATGTAATTTTTTATTTTCAAAAAAAGTCTAAAAATCGTCCTCTTTGTGTTTGTTGAAATGTACGGCTAACTTATAATTTTGATGTGAAACAATTGGAGATTGAATGTGGAACTAGACTGATATTTATATTAGCGACACATTTTTTTCTATTTATGTTTGAATGAGTTGAATGAGATCGGAAAATAATCGATAAAAGAAATACTTATGAAATAAATGATTGGACGTAGTTAGGCAAATAGTACGCGCGTTCATTCACCCCGGACAATACAAAACTTTATTTATTGAAACTTAAAATTTTTTGATCTTTATTTTTATTTATTACTACTGAATGAACGAAAGCTTAGTGGCCAAAATATGTCGATCATGGTACGTACATGCGCCGATTTGCAACACGCTGTAATACTAGAAAAAAAACTACCATGAATGACTACTTTAAGTTTGATAAAATTTAGTAAAATTTTCTGTGTTGCAAGCGCAGAACTTCTTGCCGATTCTTCAGCGTAATGGGATTGCATTTTAAATCGGTGATACAGTTATAATAATTTCAAAACGCCTTTAAAGACCTTATTGAATAAAAACTTTTTAATTTTATCCTGATATACTTTGTCTGATTCGTCATTCCTTACGTCATTGTCGTTTGGGTCTTTTCTGCTTAACTACGTCCGGGAGGTAGGGATACCAGTGTCGTTGATTACACAAAAACACTACATGATTCAGTGCGTGCATTACGAAGTTCATTGAATAAAAAACTTTCGTCGATTCTATTTCTTTATGACGCATCGAAAATAACTAACAAGCAAGACAACCTACAAAACCTTTTTAATTGTAATTAATATTTAAAATAAAAAAAACTTATTTACTGAGATCATTTAACTTATAGTAAAACTACACAATAATGCTTTGTCTTAGTGTTTAAAATGAAAACAATTTGCATCTAAATATGTATATTCACAATACGCATTTTCAACTAAGTACTTATATAGACAAGCTGCGGAATATCGGAGTGATAAAGGTTATTTTGTCAAATTAATGAGAATATATATGAGGCCGTCAACGCAAAAGTGGCCTAGTCAACAATTTTTTTTATATTAAAGCTTATATGTATATTGGAATTTATTTAAAATATAATAAGTTGAAAACTGGCCTATCCATAGATAAAAGATGACTTTGTAAACATTACTTTTGCGCTTATTTATTTTTTTGCCTACTCAAATTAAAACTCATGAAAACTTAAACCTCATTGCTCCATACTAACTATTGTAAGCTTAAGCCACTTTTGCGATGGCGACCTTATACAATATCAGGGTACTAGGGTACACCGCACTGTTATTGGCACGTCGGTCCGCGAGTATTTCTACCTCAAAATAAATAGCACTTTACTTCTGTTTATTGGTAGATTATTTTATGAGTCTTGTAACTATGAAGAAGATAATTTCTTTCTATTGCTAATTACTATGCTCAACTTACAGCTGATAATTCCTGACAGTGAAGACATATGGGTTTTATGTTTGGCAAAAATCGCTGCTAGAAATATACTTTTTTGCGTTTAAACAATCGACACCAAGTCTGCAGTTTTACATTAATTATTTAAAGAAATATTAATCTAAATGTTGTAATGTTTATACAATAGAAGTGAACATAACTGATGCGTTCAGTTTGATAATTTTAAGCCTACCCAATCTTTTGTCTCCAATGTGAAGGATTGTATTGCGGTGCCAATAATTGTGTGGCTTACCCTATTCGACTTCAATTGCTTTATACTTTAATAAATATCACGAGAGCCAGATAGTCTTATGCCGAGTATATATATCGGTTGCACTTTTTTTTTTTAAATAAAAAGAACAGCAATTTACATTACCGTTGGTTTTATCAATTCAAATGTTGTTTGGAAAGATAAATGGATGCATTCGAGATATAAAAACGAAAAAAAAACACGGACAACATATAGATATGTACGTTATTTTGTAAATAATTGTCGCACCCTGTCGAACATTGATAATTGACGAAATTATTGGAGTAAATAAAAAACCCAGGGTAGGGCTCGCAGAGCGTGCTTACATAGAATACACTTTAAATACGTTTCGACCATTCAATAAACTGACAAATTTTAATAATGTCAATGATAATGTCAATAATTAAATTGGAAACCTTACTGTGTTCACACAATACGGACATAATGGTTGATTTCGATAAACATAAAAAAAACTCTTTTTTTTCTTAAATTGAAATGTGTGTATCTAAATCATAATTATTAAGTAGCCGAAACGTTAATAAATTCTTTAGTTTAATTTATTTATACATACAAAGCGCATATCCCAATTATACTACATACGTTATTTAATATATATATTATGCTATGATACACATTTACTATAACTATATTATGTATAGAAAACAGTGCTGACGTTATCTTTGGAAGGGAGATAAATAAAGTGCACATTTATAAGATCTTTTAATCAAGTAGAACGCTAAACAGATTTAATTATTTTCATTTCTCAACCAAACAATACTTTAAATAGTTCAAATATTAGCACACTGACTTGTATTTTTGATGATTTTTATAATCAAACACGATTACAAATATGGACACTGGTAATTGGAAATTGTCGGGTAGTTCGTTTAATGAATTATTTGGTATCTAAAAATGAAATATGATTCCGTGGGATGCGTTTTCGCTAGGTAAGTCTGTTTCACTAATAAACAGTCAAAATAAAAGACATGTTGATTCACGGGTCACCAGCCGATACTACACAATGTTCACAAGTGTATTATAGTTTGCTACAACTGGACTTTCATTCCACTTTGATTAGACGATTTAAAAATATTGTAAGTTCTAAGAGATTCGTTAATCGAAAAATTTCATATTAAAGTCTTATTAAGTGGCAAAATCAAACTAAATAGTACGTGTTAAAGTTAGCGCAACAATATAAAGAGTTTTCCTCGTAAATTGTCCTCCAGAAAGGAAGGAATATGTATATTGAAACAGGTAAGAGGTAAGATTTTAATTAATACTTTTTGAAATGAAAAATCTAGACATAATGATAGAACAGAGAATATGTTTATAAATATAATATGATTTCATTTCATTTAATAGCATCTTTAGAAGTCTCGGCAGTGTCATGGACGACGGTGGTTCTAACAATCAGGCGGTAAACTAAGTTGTCTATAAAGGAAATAATAAGTCTTCCTTAAGTTACCTATCTTAAACGCCGACCCGTGAATCAACGAGATTGAAACAGTGAAAGAAATATTACAAAAACAAAATATAATAAACACGTGCAAAACACTCGTAGACAATTCTAAAATTTGTTTTCATTTATAACATTAGAAATATTCTTCTCATTATATAACTACTTGATAGTAAAGCACTTTGAAAAGTTATTCCATCTTAATATGACAAAAAAAAAGATGGCCGTCATCATAGTTCCCAATTTTTTTTGGGTATTCGAGGAATCTCTTTGATGTTTAATATCTTAAAACTTATTATTAATAACGGGTCAATTGAAATGACTAATGTTAAATCAGAATACACAAAATGTTTTTCTGGTTCAACAAAAAATTATTAACGTTGTATTTTACTAAAATATAATTCTACGATTGTAGGTAAATAAATTCGTATTGCAACACTAAGGCTTCTGAAATTTGAAAAACGAACGTCAAATGGAAGTCGCAGCGAGACAGCCGCGTCCATTGAACCGAGCGAGAATCAGTTCAGTCTGCTTAATGCGAATTTTTTTACTTCTCGATCACGTAAAGCTTAAGTTAACATTAACGCAATCGAGAAGTTAAAAAACTCGCACTAAGCACACATTTCACACATTTTCCGGGTGTTTCATAAATGAAGCCTTGTTCTTAAAATGATTCGAGTCTTCACAACAAAACGCATTTGAGTCGATGCGTTTCGCAGGCGGCCGCGTGTTTTTTGTTTTACGACAATAAAGATAAATTAATCGAATTCAATTAAAAGTAATTTTCAAATTATATTCGAAGTAGGTATATACGGCGGATTTAAATTTGTTAAAACTTTGAACTTCGAATCCACTATTGAAATATTGTGATTGTTAAAACAGTGGCAACACTGGCGAACCAATTTTTTTTGTATTATCTCTGTTTAGAGACCGTGAGAAATAGGAAGGAATAAATATATATCTTAACAGGTTTTTGGGATTTTTATAAACCAAAATTTTATTATTAGATTAGGATGCCTATTTTTATTCACACGACTGAAACTAAATATATGCTTTATTCCCCAAACATTGTTACTCAGTGTTTGATTGCTGATCGAAATTCGACCATAATCACTGACACCTCAAGATTAAAATTATTTTTAATAAAATAAAAAAAATCGTTAACAGAAAACAGTGAGTACAGTAATTAAACAATCTATGTGTGATAACAAAACAAGCATTACTGCCGTTAAATCTAATCGACTCATTTATACAAGTTATTTTTAGAACAATCACTTTTTATATAAAAAAAACCTAAGTTGCAATGTTACATTAATCTGATATGTTACTAGCGGTAATTGGGATTTGGTCGCTGTCTTAAAAAAATAAAACAAACTAACAAGCATTCGTCAGCACAATGCTGACCGATCGATAAACGATTACGCTGACGGACGCTCAAAAAATCCGTAACACATATTTCTCACAGTTGAAAGAAAATCTAACCCACATTCTTATTTTATTTAAATTAAAATCATAGCTCTTTTCACGGAGCGCATCTGCCGACATTGTTCGTAATGGTGTGCGGGAGTTTTGACAGTGAAAGCGGAATGTCAAAGTCACCACTCAAAGATATCTGTGAGACGCAACCGACCAAACCGCTCTTGTATTTACCTTTAGTGTTGACCTCTATCGACGGTAAGCCACCTGTGAACATTTAGCGTTAATTAGACACCGCCGAGCAAAGGTCAATAACCCTACTAGGTGCCTCAATTGGCAAGTATGACATGCTCTAATCAAACTTTAGCCCCTTATTTTATCAGTTATTAATAACTTCGATTTGATTTTGCTTAAGAAAGAGATGAATCAAAGATGTCCGATTAAAACACTAACTATACTGTAACGGAGACCTTAGAACTCATATCTCAAGGTGGGTGGCGGCATTTACGTTATAGATGTCTATGGGCTCGGGTAAGCACTTAACATCAGGCTGTGAGCTCGTCCACCTATTTATACAATAAAAATACAGAATGTTCGTTGTTGAGATGCTACCAAAATGCGTTCTGTGAAATCATCATCGAAGTTAGCACGGTACAACATCTAGCTATCTCTGTCGCACGTCCTCCTTGTTACGGCAGTGATGTCACGAAACCATAGATTTTTAACCGCCTGACATATACTCATAGCACCAAATTCCAAAGGTACATTACGCCTTGTATTTTAAACAGAAATAATTTTTGTGAATCATTTTTATCTGTCAATAATATTCGTGTTTCTAATGCGATGGTCGATTCAGCGAAGCACTTCTCCAGCTAAGGCTAGTGTTAGCAAGCTCTCTCAAGTTGAGCCCGTGAGCTCACCTATTCGTCACGTACTCACCTATATACAAACCGTTCTCGGTGTTGAGCTGTTTGTGTTTCCCGGGCGATATGTTCCCGACCGACCCCAAGCCGTCCACCTCCAGCACGCCTGCCTGGCGGTTCCTGGAAGCACCGAGTCAGACGAGCTTGAACTAGAGGAGCTTTATGATAATTAATGTAACGTGCTTACACGAGTCTAAAAAATATTTATACCGATTATTATATCGATACCGGGTTTCACACCCGGAATTCCTTAAGTATTTATTTGACGTATTTCTAAACCATTTAACACGTATTTAGTTTATTAGTGAAAAAAAAAACAATAGGTACATATTATAGCTTTTTGGGACATCCCCAGTATAAATAAGTCTCGGTTTCATGAAAATAAGAAAAAAAATTGTTTGGCTAAAAGGTCGAGTGACCACAGGCACTGATAGGTTTTATTTAAAAAAAAACCTTTGCTTTTTGCATTGCTTTTTTTTAGTGTCCCTCCGGCATAACCAAGCTGTATAAAATGTGAATAAATACAAATAAAGTTTTCTTTTTTTTTTCAGATAAATTTTTGGAATAAATATTAGAGAAACTGACGACAAGCTGAAGAAGCTGATTGGGCAATGACTTATAGATCGCTAAAAAAACATATCGGTTTTTGGTGTCGTTTTGTAATTGTTACACTGTTTTACCATTCCCAATCCTGCGGACAGAATGGAAAGCAGTCGACGTCGCCCAAAACACGTCATCTCGGATCCTCCCGATCCACTAACGGTGCTTCTAGGTACTTCAAGCACCGGTCACCGTTCTCGTCGAACCCGTCGCTTGCGACGAAGGGCTCGACGAGTAAATTAACTCTCAGACACAGCCCACTGAGTTTCTCGCCGGATCTTCTCAGTGGGTCGCGTTTCCGATCCGGTGGTAGATTCTGCGAAGCACGGCTCTTGCTAGGGTTCGTGTTAGCAACGTCATCAGGTTTGAGCCCCGTGAGCTCACCTACAAAAGTTAGGGTTACGCTGAAATAGCCTCTCAAGGCTCTCAGCTTAGGTAGGAGAAAAAAAAAAATGTGTGCGTGTACTAGTGTACACACGTAAGAAGTGAAACTTATTTATGGCCTTATTTTTCGAAAAATGATCTACATGCAACTTTCTAGAAATTGGTTAAATAAAGTTAAATTAGATAAAGTTTAAACAAAAGGATTTTATTATCATAGACATGAATACAAAAAAGTTAAATTAGATAAAGTTTAAACAAAAGGATTTTATTATCATAGACATGAATACAAAACAGATGGCGCGTAACGGAAAAATGTGACGCGTAACCGAAAAACGTGACGGTAAATTTTTTTCCAACGCCGATAAGGAAGTTTCACTTCAAAAAAAAAATACTGTTTTCATTGTAACCCTTCGGTCCGCGCACATCACGTGCAATAATGAGCTTCGTTGCTCTAAAAATGTCCTAAACTATTACTGGTGGTAGAACGTCTTGTGAGTCCGCACGGTAGGTACCACCGCCCTGCCTATTTCTGCCGTGACGCAGTAATGCGTTTCGGCTTGAAGGGTGGAGCAGCCGTTGTAAGTATACTGAGACCTTAGAACTTATATCTCAAGGTGGGTGGCGGCTTTATTTTGTAGATGTCTATGGGCTCCGGTAACCACTTAACAACAGGTTGGCCGTGAGCTCGTCCACCCATTTATGCTATAAAAATAAAATGTCTCGTTACCTTGTAGCTCGCGCTCTGTGCCACAAGCCGTCGTCAACTTTGGTGCGGTTCGCTATGATGACCACCTCGCCACTGCCCAAGTCGTATCTGAAAGAAAATTATGATTTGAAGGCTACGGTTGGGGTGAGGGGGTAGGGAAAGGGGGGTTGGGGGCAGGGCGCTTGTGATCACGGGCTATTATAAAGTTTGGTTTATCAAACTATATAACTATAAGCGCCAAGACTGAGGAGTAGCATTCTCTTCTCGACCGACTGTTTTTATTGGTTTTATAAGCTTTCAAAGAGACTTCGATATTATTATTAACGTNACCGCCCTGCCTATTTCTGCCGTGACGCAGTAATGCGTTTCGGCTTGAAGGGTGGAGCAGCCGTTGTAAGTATACTGAGACCTTAGAACTTATATCTCAAGGTGGGTGGCGGCTTTATTTTGTAGATGTCTATGGGCTCCGGTAACCACTTAACAACAGGTTGGCCGTGAGCTCGTCCACCCATTTATGCTATAAAAATAAAATGTCTCGTTACCTTGTAGCTCGCGCTCTGTGCCACAAGCCGTCGTCAACTTTGGTGCGGTTCGCTATGATGACCACCTCGCCACTGCCCAAGTCGTATCTGAAAGAAAATTATGATTTGAAGGCTACGGTTGGGGTGAGGGGGTAGGGAAAGGGGGGTTGGGGGCAGGGCGCTTGTGATCACGGGCTATTATAAAGTTTGGTTTATCAAACTATATAACTATAAGCGCCAAGACTGAGGAGTAGCATTCTCTTCTCGACCGACTGTTTTTATTGGTTTTATAAGCTTTCAAAGAGACTTCGATATTATTATTAACGTTAATATAAAAAGCAGAGTTACTGAGATGCTCATCAGAAGAGATGTATTAATTGAAGTCGTCGTGGCCTAAAGGGTAAGACGCCTGATGCATTCCAATAACGAAAATCAAATTAATTGAGACTGACATTTCAGGTTCACACCAGCTTCGATTCTACCGTCTATGGTGTCATTAGAGTAGCCAAAGACAAGTTGAGACAACGGCGCAATATCGCGAAGACGAAACTACTCTCAGACATGAGGAGCATGGCTGAAGAAGGGGTCACATATATACGGTGGAACTACCAATTCTCGTGTTACATAGACGATATTGTTGTTACCTGAAGACGAGCACGGAGCTCTCGACGGCGAGCGAGAGGAAGTCTCCCGGGGAGGAGAGGGGCGAGCGGCCGCTCCACACCAGCAGGCCGTCTGACGTCACCGATCGGAAGCGGATGTTTATGTCGAGCGTGTAGCTCAGTAATCTGGAACCACGTTTTTTTATTATTGAACAACATGAGATTTAAGTCGAAAAATGTATAGGCAAAGTTACTTTTAGGACTGAATCGATAAATATAATAATCATAATATCTATATATATAAATGAATTACTGTTCGTTAATCTCGCTAAAACTCGAGAACGGCTGGATCAATTTGGCCAATTTTGGTCTTGAATTATTTGTAGAAGTCCAGAGAAGGTTTAAAAGGTAGATAAATATGAAAATGCTCGGAATATAAATAAAAATAACAATTTTGTTTTCCCTTTGATGTGTCCCTCGTCGGACGGTTTTTTTTTGTTTGTTTTAAGTTTATTTTACACAAAAGTTTAGGTCTTTTATTTATCGATTGAGGCACTACGAAGTCTGCCGGGTCAGCTAGTAATCTATAAAATTCCCCCACTTCGACCGGGTGGATATCCGTAAATGGATTCCCCGACGTTAATAAAAGGACTGAATCTCGAATAAAATCGTTTAAAATAGTAAAATGACATTTAAAAAACGCAAATTAAAAATTTACAATTCATTAGTTTTCGTTAAGATATCGTGATGGAAGTTTTACATTGGGCAGACGCTTTACAGCTTTATAGTTATCGAAACGAAACCGCTAAGAAAACTGTAAAGTGTTCGAAACGACAGAAATAACAAAATTAATGCGAAATTCAGTCGTAAAAGTGGTTTTAATTATGACAATGAGATATCGTCATCATCGTCATCCTCATAGTCTGCTAGTCTTGACAGAACAGTGGAGGTCATGTGGAATCCTTCTTTATTATAGCCTTGACCACTGTTCTCCATATTTTGCGAACTGAGGCTTAGCGCACGAACTCCTTAAGTGGGGTTTTGGTAAGTATTTACACTTATAGAGATATCGTAAGTTTATATATTTGACAGAATTCTGGCTACAGTAAATATTTGTTCTATCTGATACACTACCGTAGATTGGGGGGAATCGGGACCCTTTCCAAATCCAACACAAATTTTCAATGGTTTCTTAGGGTAATACCAATAAAACGGAGATTAAAATGGTTCCGGAGGCTTACATTTTTGTAAACGATGCCTTATTATACACAGTTCATTACAAAATATATACAAAAAAAGCTGAAAAAACTAGCTTGACCCGATTCACCTTAGCTTTGGAGTGAATCAGGTTACGTATGGTGAGTTTCTCGGTAGGACTGGCACTATTTAGTTGTTAAGTAGGTACCTAACTTTAGGTAATTAACTTTTTAATATCTTTAATGAGTTACAAAACCCTGATGACTAAATTAAACTATTTAATATTCTTAAACACTAAATAAAAGTCATTTTCAGTTCAACAAAGTTACTACTATTATTATATTATATTATTTTTATTAAATCTGACAACTCAACAAAAGTATTGTGACATCCCAGATTTGTCCCTCTAGTCTCTATTCCCCCCAATCTACTGTACTATAGGGTATAGTTTTAATTTATGTTAAGTGGTGGACGAGGTCCCGGCCCCCGGGGGTCAAGTGGGGGACCGGGGGTTGGGGGGGCGCGTTAGAGGCGCCCCCCCAACCTAAAGACTAGTATTACCTTTTCATGGTCTCGTCGTCATCGATGTGTATGAAGCTGTCAACGCCACTGAAGCTTGGGTACGAGTTCGTGTCCCCCCAATTAATTTCGTTCGCATTCAAGTACTTGACTTGCATGTACGTGTCGCCCGCGGACAGCACCTCGCCCCCTTTAGTGTAGTAGTCGTGCTTCTTGACGGAGTACTTGGTCTTGTAAGCCTCGCGGGCCCGACTACGTTTCTTCGGCTTCGTTTTGTGCGTTTTCAATTTGAAGCCCTTCTTTGCGACTATCGAATGGCGTACGTCCATTTCTGTCTCGTTCCGCGGGTACACCGGCATCGGGTCTAATGTTTCCTCGCACAGCTTTCGGTCTCTGAAAACGGAGGGGAACGCTAATCTTTCGAAAGGAAATCGCGAAATCTTATTCTGGTAAATCAGTGTGCTTGGTGCGAGTTTCTTAACGTTCTCGATAGGGTAAAAGTTAAGCCAATTTTGTATGCAATTGTAACAGCGTCCCTAGCGGCAAACGATCCAATTCCATACAAATATGAGCTAACTTTTACGCTAGCGAGAGATGCGCTAACAGTCCGACCGCACGCTACCGCACTTGAACGACAACTGACGAACGTCACATCGACAGTGTGGGACAAAGACAGCGCTCTACGAAGTCGAAATTAGCCGAACATCTCTTTCCAAATGTCGATGTGCAATATTTATCGCCGAGCACTGTACGCCTGAACATAATATCGCTCTTAAAAAATTCAGAACATGCTTCGGTATTATTTAATAAAATTACAACAAATTTCACTAAAGCGAAATGTATGAGTGCGACGTCATCGACGGCAAATTAAGAAAATAGCCAAACTGTGTACAATACAATAGTAAAATTAACCACACGTATTATTGTCGTATGTCTTTGATGCGTGTGCAAATTTTCAATTTAATCGAACGGCCTTATAGTCGGTGAAAATGACGTTTAATGATTCCGTTACATACAAGTCATGCTATTAAAAGCGTGCTAAAAAGCGTCTTTATTAAAACGTAAGAAAATGCAAGCTTATAAAAGCGTGTTAATAGAAAATATTTGCAAGTCAAGCTACTGGAGCGAGTATTCTAAAGAGTTAATAATGTGTTATAGATTTATTTTCCTCTCCCTGTTCTTTGGTCTGTAGCCTGCCTTATTGAAATGGCCCCATTTTAATAAGGCGCGGATTAGTGGCTCAACCTGAAAGAATTTGCTAACACTGGCCCTAGCAAGAGCAGTGCTTTGCCGAATCTACCACCGGATCGGAATCGCGACCCACTGAGAAGATCCGGCGAGAAACTCAGTGGGTTAAACTCATTGATAAGCTGAGTTGGACTCACGTGCACGTATTGTTGTGAGGCTCGTCACAATTGTCCACGTTGAGACCGCCGAGAGCCGATGCGACCACCGATAGCTCCTCATCGTTTATCACCAACTGTAAGCGCCGAGACAAGTATGTGTAAGCACGTAAAAACATTAGCATTCGTTGAAGCACAAAGACAATTCTTCGAACTGTCATTTAAAACGTTATACATTTAATAATTTCTTTTCTCACATTTCTTTCAGTTATACATATCCTATTTATGTATAAGCACACAAATTAAATTATAAATAAAATACGGTTTAAATTTTAACTGGTAATTTTTTTTTAACAACGTTTTTTTTAAACGCTTATTTTAGTCAGCAGCCCCAACACTAGTTCTAATGTGTACAGCCGCGCCAATAAAGAAACGAATCTAAAATGGCGGCGGCGATCATGCGCTCTCACTCTAAACTATTGCTGTCTTTAGTCGCACATGACGCGTACTGGATGCAAAAAAATATCAGTTCTGACTTTGTTATCGAGTTCGAGTTTTTTCAGTTTCAAGTTGTGCGACTTAGATGACTGGCAACAAAAGTGTCTACGCAAGTTGCATCCCAGATGAGACACCTCTCCTCTGCCAGGGCATAAAGTAAAGTACATTCTCATTTGTTTTTTTATATTTTTTTACATCATCATTATCCTGCCCTTTTCCCAGTCACCTGGGGTCGGCGCAACATGTTTTCTCCTTCCATACCCTTCTATCATATACCATTTCTTCGCTCACTCCCCTCCTACCCATATCGTCTTTCACACAATCCATCCATTTCTTCTTAGGTCTACCTCTTCCTCTAAATCCTTCCACATTCATAGTTAACAATGAACAATTTTACAATGAACAACTTTTTCTTTCTTTCTTTTTATTTGTTGACCATACCATCTGTCAGTGCAGGTACATAGACGCCATTTTCGATTCGTTTCTTTCATATATGGATTATCCCATCCTCGGCGCCACTTTAATATATGGATTAAAACACTTAATTAATTAATAAGTATTATTTAATAGGAGCGCACACTTAACCGAGCACTTAGAAAAAAGACAAGACGGAAGTTGAGTAAAGAGCGAGATAGCTACATTTTAGAATGACAGTTATCGAATGCGTTTAGGAACTGGTTTGATATCTCACAGTTTCTTTATTGACGCGGCTTATACTGTAAGCCTACCTGTCCAATGCATCCGCTGAAACTTTTCCGCAGAGCCAACCTCGGCGGAATGGGGTGGGGGGCGCCCCCCAGCAGCATCGGCTGGTGCATCGTGAGACGTCTGGACGTGCCGCGTGACGTCACAGCGCGTGACGTCACTCCGAGCGCGGTCCTCACCCGGAGGGTCGCGTGTCTCCCCGACCGGCTGACGGACACCCGGTGCCATTCATTAGGCTTCAACGGGAACGCCGATCTGTTCAAATGGCAAAGATAACCAGGGAAATTTGGTACGTGAGGTTTTTTTTATCTTTTTCACTGTCGTAATTTTTTTTATTACTTAAATGGTTGGTTTTTTTTCCCTACCTGAGCTGGTAGCCTTGAGAGGCTATTCCAGCGCAACCTTAACTAGTAGGTGAGCTCACGGGGCTCAAACCTGATGACGTTGCTAACACGAACCCTAGCAAGAGCCGTGCTTTGCAGAATCTACTACCGGATCGGAAACGCGACCCACTGAGAAGATCCGGCGAGAAACTCAGTGGGCTGTGTCTGAGGGTTAGTTTACTCGTCGAGCCCTTCGTCGCAAGCGACGGGCTCGACGAGAACGGTGACCGGTGCTTGAAGTACCTAAAAGCACCGTTAGAGGATCGGGAGGATCCGAGATGACGTGTTTGGGGCGACTTCAGCTGCTTTCCATTCTTTCCGCAGGATCGGGAATGGAAAATGGTTGGACGATCTCACGGCCAACCTGTTGTTTAGTAGTTACCGGAGGCCATAGACATTTACGACGTAAATGTCGTCATCCACCTTGAGATAAGATTTCTAAGGTCTCACTACAATTACAACGGCTGCTCGACCCTTCAAAACAAAACGCATTACTCCTTCACGGCGAATATAGGCTGGGTGGTGGTACCTACCCGTGCGGACTCACAAGAGCTCCTACCACCAGTATATGAACCAATAACCCGCCATTTATTATAAATATATGAACATCTAGAAATTTCGCGAATGTCATTTACAATTTTACCTTACGAGAGCGATTCCTGAGCCCAGATCGAAGGCAAACTCCACGAAGTAGTCCCTCAGGTGTAACGAGAAGAAATCTCCATCGCCGCTCGCGCGTTCCGAGTCGTACAGCACCAGACCGTCCCCGTTTGTGGGCTTCAGTGTTAGCTGGAGATGAAGTTGGAATACTTATAAATAGAAAATCATTGAACATTCTTGATCAGAGTTAATATTAGCTCGAGGGGTAGGCAGTGGCTTGGCTCTGCCCCTGGAATTGCTGAAGTCCATGGGCGACGGTAACCACTCACCATCAGGTGGGCCGTATGCTCGTCTGCCTACAAGAGCAATAAAAAAAAGCTTCGTTTCCAAGAGCTACAGTTTTGAACTTCCGAGAAGAACCGATGGAATGAACTCAACTCATTTAAAGTGTTTTGTGATCATAAAGTTATTTATTGCCTACTAATTACTGCATAATCATAATCGATCTGGTAGACCGAATGGTAAACAGTCGACGTCGCCCTAAGCACGTCATTACGGATCCTCCCGATTCATTAACGGTGCTTTTAGGTACCACAAGCACCGGTCACCGTCTTTGTCGAACCTGTCGCTTGCGACGAAGGGCTCGACTAGGGAATTAACCCACATACACAGCCCACTGAGTTTCTCGCTCTAGGTAAGAAAAAAAAGCACAATAGTAAACTGAAAAAAAATATTAAAAAAGTTTAACTTCGATAAAAGCGCAACATGTCTAATTCTTGGCCTGGTCTTATTCTTTCCGGCCGACCTAATAAATTAGTGAAATTAGCGAACTGCCGGTTTTTTTAAAGATTCATTTTGTTGAATGCGTTACCTGCTATAGAACCAGTTGATAAAGAAACGAATACTAGTAAACTCAAGACTCTGTGCTACTTGGTCTTGGAGTCTTGGTGGTAGGACGTCTTATGAGTCCGTGCGGGTATGTAACACTGCCTATTTCAGCCGTGAAGCAGTAATGCGTTTCGGCTTGAAGGATGGGGCAGTTGTTGTACTGTTAAAAGGCCTTACAACTCATGTCCCAAGGTGAGTGGCGCATTTACGTTGTAGATGTCTATGGGCTCCAGTAACCACTTAACTCCAGCTGGGCTGAACTGGGCTGCGAGCTCGTCCACCCAACTAAGCAAAAAAAAATATTTTCTTAGAAAGAACTTAGAAGAAATACACTGAAAACTAAAGTTTGAAATAGTATCGGTTTTTTTTACCCTATTGATTATGCGTTTTCGAATAAGACAAGAATTATTTTGCGAATAATTATATATGAGCCCGTGATTTTCGATCTATCAGACACAAGAACCGTTTTCTTCATAAACACAAACACAGACTCACAATCTTCCGTCAAGTTAAAGCTCGTGAAAACTTCAACAATGACTAAACATTAAATAATTATAACTTTAAGAACGTCCGACGATGCTTCTCCTGTATTTTTTTCTCGGCAAAAGCTTTTAAAAACGTTCCGAAAGTTTTCTTTAAAAATTACAGAATAAATTCTTATTTTTCGTTTTTTTTTCTTTTCATAATGATGTCGGTGTTGGAAGAAGTAAATAATGAAGTTAATTCATGAGTTTATTAAGAGTTTCTTACTTCGGGGAGTTCGTGTTTTAAGAATCCCAGTCTTGTAAGATGCTTTTTATATGGTGCAGAAATATGAACTATGAATGATGGAGCACTGTGAATTATTGACGCGTCAACCCTCAGTGTTTCGCCGGATCTTCTAAGTGGGTCGCGATTCTAATCTGGTAGTAGATTCAGCGAAGCACTGCTCTTGCTAGGGCTAGTAGCAAACTCTCTCAGGTTGAGCCCGTGAGCTCACCTAGCGGTCTGTGCTTACTTACGTATTTTTTACGTATTTTATATAGTATTTTTTATTTCGGCTAAGTTACTTCTCATTATGCTCATATTCATGTTGTCACTTCTCTTTATTATCTCTTCGATTTCGTGACGTTTCATTTTATTGCTTACTAGCTGACCCGGCAGACTTCGTAGTGCCTCAATCAAGAAATAAAAGACCTAAACTTTTGTATAAAATAAACTTAAAACAAACAAAATGAATCCGTCCGACGTGGGACATATCAAAGGAAAAACAAACTTGTTATTTTTATTTAATTCTGAAGATTTTCATATTTATCTACCTTTTAAACCTTCTCTGGACTTCGACAAATAATTCAAGACCAAAATTAGCCAAATCGGCTCAGCCGTTCTCGAGTTTTAGCGAGACTAACGAACAGCAATTCATTTTTATATATAGAGATTATTTTCCATCTCTTCTTCATCCACAGTGCGTCTCCACAGGCTTAAAGCGAGAGTGAATCCGGGGATACGACAAGACATGTTTTGGGCGACGGCGGCTTTGCTTTGTCGGATATGTAGTTAGCAGTGTCCACGATAAGAGGGTTACTTCGCGAAGAGTATCCCGATTGTTGACTAAAAACAATTATTATTTCCGACGAAAAACAATCAAAACAAATCAAATCAAAAAAAAATATATATTCAACATAAATGAAAGTACATACTTGTTGAACGTCAAAAGAACTACCGCCAATTCACAAAAACTAGCCGCCGTCTTGAGAAGAATTATTATTGGCCAGAAACTCAGCGGGCATGTCTTTTTTTATATTTTTTTTTTTTTTAAATATTACATTTTTTTTAAATATTCATTTTTACAATCAGTATTATAACGTAACAATTATTACAATATTGAAATGCCTGGAGCGAGCAATTTCTTCCCACTTTGTGCAATCTTCTAGATAATCATTGACTTTATTGCACAGATGTTCTTTAATAGTTTTCTTAAACCTATGTATATGCAGGTTCTGAACGTCTTGTGGGATTTTGTTGTACAGACGCACAGACAAACACCCGAATGAATTTCGTATCTTATGTAACCTACTCATCGGCACAACAAGCTTGTGTTTGTTCCTAGTATTTCTATTATGTATGCCAATAGCTCACAAACCTGAATGTCGAGCCAGGACTGAGCCGAGTTCCCGAGGCCTGGCAGCCGGAGATACGACGACCCGTTGAAGCGAGGCACCTATAGGACACAACTTTATTTACGTATTCCTTTTTAACTCTTTCGCTGCCATGTAGATCACCAGTGGCGCACTGAAGTAATTAAGTCGATTTCTGTCTTTGATCTTCTTATTAAGGCACCGGAATATCTAATAGACTCCGGGAAAGACGAATCCGAAGATACTAAGAATGAATCTATTTCTAAGAGAACTAAAAACTAAATCATACATTAACAAACAAAAGAAGGCAACGTTACTGGTGGTAAGGCCTCTTGCGAGTCCGCGCGGGAAGGTACCACAACCCTGTCTATTTCTGCCGTGAAGCAGTAATGCGTTTCGGTTTGAAGCCGCTCTAACTATACTTGAAGCTTAGAACTTATACCTCAAGGTGGGTGGCGCATTTACGTCGTAGATGTCTATGGGCTCCAGTAACCACTTAACACCAGGTGGGCTGTGAGCTCGTCCACCCATCTAAGCAATAAAAAAAAAGTTACGTAATCCAGGCGCTTAGTAACAGAAATCCACATAATTACTTGAGTGCGTCGCGTAGGGCACCGGTGACCTACATGGCAGGCAAAGGGTTAAGGACTTTTTATTTCAGAATTCACAGGCCGTGATTAAACATTGACAGGTCCTGTGCAGTACGCCATATGACATTATTGAATAAACTTAAATAATCTGTCAATGTCAAGGGATAAAACAGTCGCCATTTTCTTTTTTAGCATTTGGGCGCCAAATAATTTCGTTCATCACAATTTATCTATTCCGTGAACAACTTTTAGAGTCGATTTTTATATTTTATAAATTTTAATATTTTATATTCATGCAATTTAATATCGTAGCAAGAACACGTTGAATAATAGTGTTTATAATGTAGATAACCGCCAAAGTTTATAACCTATCAAACTGATTAATTACATTTTATTTAATTCATTTAATGTAAAATTTATTACTTTTTTACTGAACATCTTCAATATGAAATTATGAAACATAACAATCACAATGAATCTAAGGATAGAAAATTTTAAATACGCGTCTGTAAATTGTAAACTATATGAAATATTTACCGAAAACCATTGAAAGTTTGGTCGTGAATTACCTACACTTTGTCTCTCGTCTTTGGTTTATTTTTGGGAGTTTCTCTAATACTTTGGAAAGTTTTTAACACAAATAAATGCTTTATACAAAAACAGCTGTATCTAAAAGGTTTTTAAAATTTACAAATTCCTCAAACTTCTTTTTCGTTAATGGGCAAACGAAAACACTGATCATTGATGTCAAGAGGTAACCTTCCGTGTGGACTCGATTTTCATCTTTGCCGACAAGAGTTGTAACTTTTTCTATAAAAAAAACTTTGATCGGTGCGGAGGTTTCGAGAAAGATTGAAAAGAAACATTAGACACTAGATTATCTATGCCTTTTTAGTATTTTTATTTTAAATACTAAACCAAACAGATAATCGTGCACCATCTTGTCTATTTTCAATTAACTACAGCGATCGGAATAGCAATAGTTTACTGTCATAAGTTTGTTTGGCCACCAATGCGAATAAATTTTAGGGCATTTTATCTAACTGTTATATAAAGTTGACAGCGTTTGCTATTTCAAAACTAAAGTAATACTTTTTACAAGAAACAAAAAAATAATTGCTGATTTTACAAACAACACATACTAACCTTCAAATCCAATGTGATTTCACATTTGACACCCGCGTACCCTAATGGACACAGGCAAACACCATTGACGCAGCCGCCGCCATGATGACACTCGCAATTATCATTATCTTCTTTTATCGTTTTAATCCCGTCACTTTTTATATCGTTTTCATTACCAGCCGCTAATTTATCGTTCAGAATATTGGTTTTAGTGTGTATTTTGGTTGTATAATCGTAGAGCGATGGAACAACGGAGTTATCAAGTGTGTTCTGATCTCGGGGGTGCGTTTCGGGATCTCTCATAACGAGGTCGTTGTCCTCGAAGTGTACAATGTCATTAATGTCGTAAATAGCTCGTGTTTGAACGTCGTTGCTGTGTTTCGAGACTCGTATCGTGGTGGCTTCGTTTGTGGGCCTCCATGGCGCTAAAGTTGGCGCGCATTCACCTGTGAAAATGGAGGTTAAAATGGTAAATATGGATAATTCCACTACATACTTATTACATACAAGCGGCACGCTCCGGCTCCGCTCGGGTCTTTAACAAAAATTTCAACGATATTTGACGTTGTTTTTTTTTTTAAAAAAAGAACACTTATTGCGGCATAGCTATAATAGTTAGACATATGCTGTCGCGACACTTTTTGTAAATAATATTGTGTTCTACAAAGTCGTAGTACATTATTTTATTCTATCATCAATAGTTTTCGCAGAGCACGCGATGTAAAGAATATTTTAGGTGGTTTTCTTACACCTTGGGTTACATTATTGGAGTTTTAGTAAGGATCCCTAATTTTTCGGGAATAGTGTAGCTTCCAAAAAGTGAAAGAATTTTTCAAATCGGTTCAATTTTCAATTCCTCTTTATAATATTAGTATAGACAGATCGCATAATGAGATATTAACCATAATATTGCTGCTTAGCTGATCCTGCTTCGAAATTATTTCTAGTTATGTAATAATATTATGCTGTGTTAAAATGATCTTAAGTCAATACGCTAAATTTAGAGACATTGTTTTAAAATTCGCTAATTAAAAATGCAGGGAAATCTGTTTAAAAGTTTGTATATAAAACAAACAGCCTAAGTACCTATTTACTAACAATATCAGTATAAATAAACAAAACGGCGATAAGAACTCACTCAAAAGCTCCAATAGTATTATCACTAATACTATTATTGTACTCAGGTGGCATAAAAATTTTCATTAGTTCAGGCCAATATTTTGGCTGTAATGAAACGTCAAGCCCAAAGATAATTAAGCGGCAATTTAATATAAGACACATAAAATTAAAATCAGTAAATGACTCCATTATATTCTTGTCACAAAATTTATTTTCTATTTCGAAATTAATTGCTTTTAAGTTATTTTGACAAAGCAAGCGAGCAGTTCTTTTGTTCGAAGGTAACGCAAAAAATAATAGCTTGTGCAAATAAAACTAAATATCTTTTATGGAACGCTATTTAAAACGGGAATTACACAAAAAAACACTAAATTAGTATACCTGTAACTATAATACATTTACAGTTTATTATAGCCAGTTCTTTTGTTCGAAGGTAACGCAAAAAATAATAGCTTGTGCAAATAAAACTAAATATCTTTTATGGAACGCTATTTAAAACGGGAATTACACAAAAAAACACTAAATTAGTATACCTGTAACTATAATACATTTACAGTTTATTATCGCCAGTTCTTTTGTTCGAAGGTAACGCAAAAAATAATAGCTTGTGCAAATAAAACTAAATAACTTTTATGGAACGCTATTTAAAACGGGAATTACACAAAAAAACACTAAATTAGTAATAATTAGTATACCTGTAACTATAATACATTATCGCTTTTTTTAATGTCATTTATATTTTCGACTAAAGTGGAGTGAAGTCGTTTGTTACCACGATAACTAGGAATATTCGAAACGTTTTTAATAACAATCTTACTACTTTTAACTAGATTTGTTATTCAGTCTTTAGAGTTCGGGATTTGTTCTAGAACTTTCGTGTTGGAAGTTTAGTTTTACTACCGCGTCGTAGTGCTGTGTTTTAATTCAACGAGATGTGTGCAATGTAGATAAGCCTTTAGCGTATATCTATTGCTAAATATTAGAAAGGAGATATACATTATTAAATACTTTTTTCCCCTTACCTAATCGTTGGTAGCATAAGGGGCTATTCAAATTATTCTCAGACCGATAGGTGACCGGGCTGAACCTGAGAGAATTTACTAACACTAGTCATTGCAAGAGCAATACTTTGCTGAATCTATCACCGGATCCGAAACGCGACCCACTGAGAAGATCCGGCGAAAAACACAGTGTATTGAGTCTATGGGGGCAAATACTAACCACATACTTCATGGAGGAGAAATTTCTTAAATTACTTCATAGTTTCACGTCTTTTTTTTTTATTTTTATTGCCCTCGTAGGCAGACGAACATACGGCCCACCTGATGGTGAGTAGCTACCGTCACCCATGGACCTCAGCAATGCTAGGGGCAGAGCCAGGCCTACCGCTTAATACTCTCCACAAGCCTCGTTTGAAGAAGGACATGTCATAGCGCTCGGAAAACACCGTGGAGGGGAGCTCATTCCATAGCCGGATGGTACGTGGCAAAAAAGACCTCTGGAAACGCACTGTCGATGAACGCAACGGTTCCAGATAATATGGATGAACTCTGCTCCGATGGCGGGAGGTGCGATGATAAAAAGGAGATAAAGGGATCATCTCATGATCATGAAGTCGTCGTGGCCTAAAGGATAAGACGTCTGGTGCATTCGTATCGAGCGATGCACCGGTGTTCGAATCTCGCTGGCGGGTACCAATTTTTCTAATGAAATACGTACTGAACAAATGTTCACGATTGACTTCCACGGTGAAGGAATAACATCGTGCAGTAAAGATCAAACCCGCAAAATTATAATTTGCGTAATTACTGGTGGTAGGACCTCTTGTGAGTCCGCACGGGTAGGTATCAACGCCCCGCCTATTTCTGCCGTGAAGCAGTAATGCGTTTCGGTTTGAAGGGTGGGACAGCCGTTGTGACTATACTGAGACCTTAGAACTATATCTCAAGGTGTGTGGCGCATTTACGTTGTAGATGTCTATGGGCTCCAGTAACCAATTAACACCAGGTGGGCTGTGAGCTCGTCCACACATCTAAGCAATAAAAAAAAAAACTCGAACATTCCTTTTCGGTAGATTTCTCGGAATCATCAATAGAAATTTACAAAACGTTTATATATTAATGTGTTCATAGCTATCTATAAACTTACATTTCCCTGTAGGTGTACGACATCATTACACATTCAACGCGAAGCGACGCGGAATTTCATTATTCCAATATCCGCGACGTATATATTTTGGGACATGTTAAGGGGTACGAACCTTGGTAAGGAATGTACGTCAACTTGATACGGTAAGAGTTAGTCTTCATTGTTTAAATTGATCAAAGGGAGATACAGTAAGATAGTTTAAAATGTTACTCTAATTTTAGTTATTGTTTCTTTCCTTATATGATTCTTGTCCATCCGATGCCTGTCTGAAGTAAATTGCACTTTTTTTTATTTTTTTATTGCTTAGATGGGTGGACGAGTTCACAACCAATCTGGTGTTAGGTGGTTACTGGAGCCCATAGACATCTACAACGTAAACGTGCCACCCACCTTGAGATACAAGTTCTAAGGTCTCAAGTATAGTTACAATGGCCCTTCAAACTGAAACGCATTACTGCTTCATGGCAGAAATAGGTGGGGTGGTGGTACCTACCCACGCGGACTCACAAGTGGTCCTACCACCAGTAAAGACGTGACAAGACCGCATTTAAAAGAAATCTTTTTGATATTGGTGTATCAGTATCATTGGTTTATCAGTATTGGTGATTTTTATCATCTTCTATAAGCACAAAATTTCATATCCGAACATTCATAGCCAAATCAAGTAGTTACTGCAATCTATAGAATAGCTATTAGATATTTAATTAATTAATTATTAGATATATCAAATGGCACATACCTTATTAAATTGTCAATGAGGGAACATGAGTCGTCGTCGTGGCCTAAAGGATAAAACGTCCGGTGCATTCGTATGTAGCGATGCACCGGTGTTCGAATCCCGCAGCCGGGTACCAATTTTTCTAATGAAATATGTACTCAACAAATGTTCACGATTGACTTCCACGGTGAAGGAATAACATCGTGTAATAAAAATCAAACCCGCAAAATTATAATTTGCGTAATCACTGGTGGTAGGACCTCTTGGGAGTCCACACGGGTAGGTACCACCACCCCGCCTATTTCCGCCGTGAAGCAGTAATGCGTTTCGGTTCGAAGGGTGGGGTAGCCGTTGTAACTATACTGAGACCTTAGAACTTATATTATTATTATTATTTTTTTTTTTGTTGCTGAGATGGGTGGACGAGCTCACAGCCCACCTGACGTTAAGTGGTTACTGGAGCCCATAGACATCCACAACGTAAACGCGCCACCCACCTTGAGACATAAGTTCTAAGATCTCAGTATATGTAGTTACAACGGCTGTCTTGCCCTACAAACCGAAACGCATTACTGCTTCACGGCAGAAATAGGCAGGGTGGTGGTACCTACCCGTGCAGACTCACAAGAAGTCCTACCACCAGTACAAGTATCTCGAGGTGGGTGGCGCATTTACGTTGTAGATGTCTATGGGCTCCAGTAACCACTTAACATCAGGTGGGCTGTGAGCTCGTCCATTCATCTAAGCAATAATAAAAAAAAAACATGAGTTTTCGACTCCTAAGACATTTCTTTCTGTTAAAAAACTGGCTGGATAATCTGGTTTCGTGAAGATTTCAAATAGCACGTTCAGACAAATTGAAGTTATATTGTCAGAGCGGGTACACTCTTCTTATATTACTAGAGGTCCCGCAGTAGTCTTAACTTTTAATACTTATAATCACAAATTTCGCCAAGGCTACACTATTCAAAAATATTAATAAAGACAAACAATATTTAATCTATTCTCAGTTTGACCACAGACGTCAAGAACAAAAGTTTGACATTAAATAGTATGCATGCGTGTGTGCGTCAAATACATGGTATGTAGTGTGTGTAATGTTTTCTTTATTGATTGAATGTATCTTTTATGCATTGTTGTGAAAAAATATTAGCATTGTGCCCTTCTTCTCTACATTCTCTATAAGTGTGGAAAATTTCATACTCCTCCGTCCGCGCAATTTTCGTAAAAAGGGATACAAAGTTTTCGCTTCACGTATTAATATATAGAACTTTTAGAACGATGTTAAATCGTCGATTAGCTCAGTGTTGACACAGAAATGCGGAGTATATTCTCTGAATAGAAGCAGATTAAATTTCACACTCGATTGAAAGACGTGAACCTCTGAACCGACAGCTTAAGGCCAAGTTATAAATAGACCAAAAAAGAGCATGAATTGTTTGAAATCGAAATATCGTATGT